CAATTCCCAGGACCCATACAGGAGCTCACAACTGTGTATAACTCCAGTTCCAGAGATCCCATGCCGTCACACAGACAAATATGCAGGCAAAACACCAATGCACATAAAATAAATATTTTTTAAAAAAGATTTGCCTGTAGGTAAGTCTGCAGCGCCTTTTCTTGATTGATGATTGATGTAGCAGGGACCAGCTCACTGTGGGAAGTACCACTCCTGGGCTGGTGGTCCTGGGTTCTATAAGAAAGCAGGCTGGGCAAGCCATGGGGACCAAGCCAGGAAGCAGCACCCCTCCATGGCCTCAGCATCAGCTCCTGCCTCCAGGTTCCTGCCCTGACTTCCCTCAGTGACGGGCTGTAATATGAACTGTAAGCTGAAATAAACCCTTTTCACCCCAAGTTATTTATGGTCATGATGTTTCATCACAGCAACAGAAACCTTACCTAAGCCAGGCCCACAAGATAATCCACTTTCACTGGTGAAATCAGCAAGACCAATGCTAGGTTCCAACATGGGCTCTTTGTGTCCAGTTGTCTGGGTCACCTTGTCAGGTGGATGCTGGTGAGTTCTTTCTGGGGCCTGGGCCTTCCCGTTGGTTTATTCTGAATTGGTTGTTGTGTATCCTCTCATTGCCCAGCATTTGGATGGAGCACTGAGCAGTTCTGAGAACGTTTGTTAGCATTTGGCCTTTGCCCCCCTGCCATTCCTCAAGTCTCTGTTGTTTTCTGTTTGTTTTTCCTGTATCCTCTCTCGATTTTTACAACCTAGCTCCTTGCACTTTGGAAATTCCATGACTGTGTGATCATAAAGACATGAAGACAGAGGCATTTATTCCCTCCAGGCCAACAGGGTGTAGGTGGCAGGGGGAACTCTCCAGGATGTGTGACGACCTCAAGGGAAGACCAAGGCAACCCACCCCAGTCCTGGTTTGTAAGAAATCTTGTTGGCTCAGCTCGGAAGACATACATAAGGGCTGATCATCCAGTGCCCTGAGCCCCTCTCAATCCTGAGGAGGTGCAGTGTAAACCCCAGGCATAGCAGCAGAGAACTGACTTAGGAACAAGAACCCAAGGGGCTCCTCTCATAAACAGCATGCAAATTCGATCCAAAATGCAAATTCCACCAACCTAAAAGATTGGCTGCAACTTTCATGGGGGAAAAAAAAAACATTAAGATGGGAAATTGAGGAGGAGAAAATGTTTGGAGAAAAACACCATGTGGTGCTCCAGCTGGTTTCATGTTTGATAATCATGGTAATTTAACTTGCAAGCATTTGATAAAAAGGGGTGGCCAGAGTAACTTTTGACATACCTAAATTGTCTACTTTTCTCCTTCTTAAACTGGAAGTTCTAGGTGGCAGAGCAAAAGATCCTAAGTGGAGAGCCTGCTCGACCTGGGATTTAAAAGGATATAATTAAAGAAGTTATGAAATTTTCAATTTAAAAAATGCCATCAAAAATGTTAAGGATGGTAAAGAAGAGGAAATTTGTGGTGGTATTTTATTTGTACACCCCCAAAAAGTTTATCTGGGGATCAGAAGAAAAAGACAACCACTATATTAAAATAGGTTTAGGCAGTGGTAGCACACGCCTTTAATCCTAGCTTTCAGAAGGCAGAGATCCATCTGGCTCTCTGTGAGTTCAAGGCCACATTGGGAACAGAGCCAGGCATGGTGGTACACACCTTTAACCCCAGTGCTAGTTAACCGTAGAGGTCTGGAGGTCTGGACAGACAGACAGGAAGTGACAGAGCTGGGCGGAGAGAGGACGTGAGATGGCAGGGCACAGAAAGGCATATAGGCGTGGGTATACGGGAAGTAGCTCTCTCTGGAGGCTGAAGGCTGGTGAGGTGAGGCTGGCTGTGGCTTGCCCTATTCCTCTGATCTGTCTTTTCACCCCAATATCTGGCTCAGGATTTTTTTTTTTTTTATTAATAAGACCGTTTAGCAATTCGTCTTACCGAAATCCATGAGAATTTTAGGGCTGTAGATGCAGCTCAGCAGAGCAGCATCGTCTCACATGTGCAGACTTTAAACTCAACCCCTAGTGCTGCGTTCTCTGTTCCTGTTTGAAAGGATCTTAGCGGTGAGAGCTGAAGATGAATTTGGAGGAATTGACTTTTCTAATCCTTTCCTCTCATTTACCCCTCTCCCTCGCTGCCTCCTTCTCCTGACACGCCTCTCCCAGTCTCTTCTCCCGCAAGCCCCATGCAGAACAATTCCACAGCAGAGGGGAAAGCATCCCCAACACTGCTGAGGTAAAGCCTAGAGGGAGCAGAGGTCCTGATGGTATCTAATCCCTGGACAAGCCTGGGCTGAGAGCACCAATTCTGGGATTTCCTGAGTCATATCAAGAAACACTCTGGGGCTGAGGTACATGCAGGGCTTTTATTTTTTTATTTTTATTTTTTTTAACTACAGGTTTTGAGTATAATGACTTCCAGTTTTGTGTTTTTATGGGATTCCTGAATGTGCAAACAAGTGCATCCCTGCATCTATATCTGTTTGTGCCTTTTCTTGGGTTCTTTTCCTTTTGTTTTGTCCTATTCTGTTTTGTTTTTATCTTAGTATATTTTATTTTACTCTTACCCCATAGATGCCTATTTCTTTTTTTTGAGACAGGTTCTCTCTCCTCTCTCTCTGCCTCCCAACCCCCTCTCTCTTCCCTTCTCTCTGGCTGTCCTGGATCTCACTCTGTAGACCAGGCTGGCCTCAAACTCACAGAGATCCGCCTGGCTCTGCCTCCAGAGTGCTGGGATGGAAGACCACTATTCCTGTGTGTTTTCTAAGGAGAGAGAGGAAGGGGGTGGGTCCAGATGGGAGAGGAGGTGGAGGACTAGGAAGGAGGGAGGGGAAATCATATCAGAATATATTACATGAAAAAATGTTTTCAATAAAAGAAAAGACACTCTGGGACTTCCTTAAGGATTTTACATTACTCTATTGACTCACACACCAGTGTTCTCTGGGTTTTCCTAATTAGAAATCTCCATGAGGAGGGCAGCCCCCTCTGGTGCTCTCAAGGGGAGCTCTTCACCTACAGTGGCAGAGCACAGAGCACGTTTCATCTTTTGACCTTTCTCTCGGCCCCTCTAACATCTCCAGGACATGGTTATAAGCTTATTACTTTGGTTCTTTCTCCTGGGTGCATTCTAATTTAATGTGATCTTATTATGTTTGGGGGTTTTCTTTTCTTGTTTGTGTTCATGATAATTACTGATTTCATGTAACTGTTTCATGTCTCATTTTGTCATATGTCTATAAACTTATGCCCATGATCTGACATCCTTATTTATGACTCCAAGATACATGGTTTTGTTTTTTGTCCCTCAGCCTAACTATTTGGGGATTTTTTTGGGGGGGGGCTTCTTTTGAAAACTAACATATAAATGGTGGTTACTCAAGAGGACTATCCCAAGCTCATCCTAGTTAAAGCACAGACGTCACAGATTTTTAAGATTTTCTTTTACTTCCACAAACAGTTTGAATGAGGGCCCTTAATTTTCTGTTCTGGAGACAACAGGCAGTTAAAACACACTCATCCTCCACACCTCCACCTGTAAAATGGTTCATTCCCAGGACTACAGGTTTTAACCACCTCCTGACCCACTGCTCATGTGGCTGACTACCCACACTACCACTGTTACTTTGTCTTTGTTTTGTGTTTTGGTTTTGAGACAGGGTTCCAACTGTGTACCCCAGACTGGTGTGGCCTCTATGTAGACCAGGCTGGCCTTAAAACTGGAGGATCCTCTTGCATCTGCCTCCCAAGTGCTGGGATTACAGGTGTGCACCACCATGGTCTACTGCTTTATATTATAACTAAGCTCTAGACTCTAAAATTTAGAGAAAGTTATGTCATCTTGAGACTATCAATGTTTCTGTATACTGCTTTTAGATGTATGTTGTGGGGAACAGAGGAAGCCTAAAATTAGTGAAGTCCTGCATGAATGTGTGCTGTTAACATGGGCAAGGCACGAGGCTCAAAGGGATTACAAAGCCTTACTCTGGGGGTCCAAGTGTGAACACTGATAGTCGTACAAAAAATGTCTACCATAGCTTTTTCCTCCTGACTTTTATGGCCCGAAGACTGCTTCCCTACAGAGACTGTGTCTACCAAGATTAGTAGCCCTGCCTCCTGAAATCAGCTGTATGCAACAGCCCCACCTCCCTGTTTAACTGTGGATAAGAAACTCTGACCTTCCAGAGTGCTGTGGTTTCTCCATCAGAACCCAGTCCATCGGATCCCAGCATCTCCCTGCATCTCTAAGTCTGTCTTTTCCATTCCCTCATCTTGAAGCATACTGGATGTGGCAATACGTTATTTGGTCTGTTTACAAAATAAGCCCTCCAATAGTTTGATTAAAAACTGACTTTAAGAGCTCATGTATTATAAACTTAGTACAGATTCCTTCTAGTTCATAAGATCCAAACAAATCTAAGAACTTCATTTAAATTTGTTGGTAAGAGACTATAAACACATGAACAGGAAATTAATACAATTTGCCTGTCATTATTGTTAGATATTTAAGGTATAATGTCCATCTTTTCCTGTATACATACAGCTTCCTGGGTTCTCACTGAAATATAGTTATTCTTGTGAAGGAAATGACCTAAGCTGAGAAATTCTGTGAAGAAAAATAGAACCATCAAATATGAGAAAGTTGTAATTTTTTTAATTAAAGATTTTTTTTCTTAAGTTTAAAAAGGTTTTAATGTAAAATACAGATTTTTTTTCCCCTGAAAGGAAAGGATTGTTCTGGAATAGAAACGGAAAGATAAGGCCCAATCCAGAAAGTATGTTGCAAACGGCCTGCCAGGTCATAGGAGGGTTTGTAAAAGATAAATCTTAAACGATTTTGCTATAATTAAAGGCTATTAACTTTCTTAGGTCAAAATTCAATGACACTCTGATGCAAGAGTGAGACCTAACTCACTTCTTCGAACAATAAGGTCTTCAATTTAAAAACAAAACAAACAACAAGAAGAACCAAGCTTAGGCCGGCCAGGTGTGATAACGCACCTTTAATCGCTGCTCCCAGCACTCAGGAGGCTGATGCAGGTAGGTCTGGGTTCCAGCCAGCCAGGGGTTCCCAGTGAGACTTTGCTTTAAGGGGGTAAAAGGCTTAGAGAACAAAGGCTTCATGCTTTACCCCTTACTGGATGAGGCACCTGAAACTTTAGATTTTATCCAAATGCCTCTAACAGTGTGACACGTTCACTGGGGCGCCTGGCTTGTTATCTGGGTGCTGGGATCCAAACTCCAGTCCTCATAATTGTACAGCAAATGTTCCTAACCACAGACCCATCTCTCAGCCCTAATTCTTAATCTTTTAGGATGGATTTCTTGAAAACAATGTATCTTTTAAAACTTGCCTGAAAATCTTGGGGTTTACCTTTGTATGTTTTTCTAATGATAAGAATGCTGATCTTGATGACTTTAATGATATCATGCCTTCATCATTAGGCATGTTTTGGTACCAACTGTTTGCTTACCCAAACTTCTTACATTCCTTGAACCAAATCTTCATGATAGGAATGACTCAATTTTTCACCACTCCCTTACTATTCAGTAAATTGGGATAAAGTCAAGACTTTACACTGCCAGAGCTCTGTATTAACTCTACCAAGGGAGTTTCCTAGTCGGGGGTAATTTTATTTTAGATCTACAACCCCTAGAGCCAAAGCAATGGAAATTCTTCCTACTAAGAACAGTAACTGGGGCTGGGCGGTGGTGGCGCACACCTTTAATCCCAGCACTCAGGAGGCAGAGGCAGGCGGATCTCTGTGAGTTCGAGGCCAGCCTGGGCTACAGAGTGAGATCCAGGACAGGCACCAAAGCTACATAGGGAAACCCTGTCTCAAAAAAAAAAAAACCCCAAAAAGAACAGTAACTGGGTCCAAACAACTGGATAACCATATTGCCACAATATTGGAAATGATAAAATACAATAAATTCCTAGATAAAAGCTGAGAGCTCTTGCCACCAAGATTAACAATCTAAGTTCAATCCCCAGAACCCACATGGTGAAAAGAGAGAAACAATTCACAAAGTTGTCCTTTGACCTCCACACTCATGCTCTAGGACACAGGTACATACATACAATAAATAAGCGTAAAGAAAAAATTTAAAAGAGTCAACCTGGCCAGGTGTGTTGGCACATACTTTTAATCCCCATACTCTCCTTAGGAGGCAGAGATAGGCAGATCTTTGTGAGTTCAAGGCCAGCCTGGTCTACTTAGTAAGTTCAGACCAGGCAGGGCTACAGAGTGAAACCTTGTCTCAAAAAAAAAAAAAAAAGGTCTATCTGTTACAGCTCTACAGAGATTTCTTATTTCTGCATAACCAGTCCCGACAACCACCCACCCTGTAAATGTGGTCAGATATAACAAAGAATGGGATCTAACCAAATCTATCAAACATTCAAACTCCAGTTTATAGGAGCAACTTGATAGGTTCAAACTCCAGATGGTAAACACAGTACCATCAGGCCTGAAAGGCTTTGGAGTAACACTGAGATTATTGATTCTTATTAGGGATACTGGAAAGATTTTAGATGGATTCTTTTGATTTAAATTACACAAAAACTAACCAGTCCTCAAGAGCAACAGCATTCATGGTGTTTTTAATCAAATTCAGCCAAATGCTCGAGCCAAAATTAAACCTCTCTGGGTGTATGAGTACTGGACTAGGAATTTTAGGACAGACTGACTTTGCTAAAAGCACACCTTAAAAAAGATTGCCGGGCGGTGGTGGCGCACGCCTTTAATCCCAGCACTCGGGAGGCAGAGCCAGGCGGATCTCTGTGAGTTCGAGGCCAGCCTGGTCTACAGAGCAAGGTCCAAGACAGACACCAAAACTGCACAGAGAAACCCTGTCTTGAAAAACCAAAACAAAAAAAAAGGAAAAAAAAAAGAAAAAAGATCATAGCCAAGATCCCACGTTTCCAGATTAAACAAGACTTCAAGGGACCACATGCTCCAGGCAGCCAGGATTAGAAAAGCACGAAGCAGTACTCACATTTTGCCAAAGACAAGTAAACGGGTAATGTTACAAAATGAGCTCAGTGGAGTCACATTTCCTTTCTGGTTGTGAAGTAATGAATGGGATTTAGTGATGCTCGCAAAAGCTGTGGGATCCTGGTTTCTCACAAGTCTAGACTCCTGTTTCTTCTCCTGTCACTAATGTTTGGAACCTGGGGAAAGGACAGATTTGTTCAGAAAGAACTCAAAATGATACTGTATCATGACCACACTTCTTTTGTGATGTGACTGTCTATTTATTTCCTTAAACTGGAATGCTGTGTAATACCAAGAGACATTACTAATTACAAAGAAGAGTTATGATAACTTAGACTGTAAAGACCAACTCTTCCTACAAGTAGAAAAAGCCACTCGACACAAGGTTTATGGCTGTAGAATCAAGAAGAAAAACTAGACTTAAAAAGCAAGAATAAGCCAGGTGGTGGTGGCACATGCTTTTAATCCCAGCACTCAGGAGGCAGACGCAGGCGGTTTTCTGAGAGTTCAAGGTCAGCCTGGTCTACAAAGCAAGTTCCAGAACAGCTAGGACTGAAACCCTGTCTCAGAAAAAACAAACAAACAAACAAACAAACAAAAAACCCAGCAAGAATAAATTATTTCAAACACAAACATTAAAACCTCATGAACTAGAAATGAAATCATATTCAGTCTAGCTGAAGAAAAGGATGATAGAGAGGTTTTTTGCTGGTTAAAATGCCTGTTTCCCTCATCTGCAACCTTACCATTATTCCTCCTTTCTGGTTTTGAGACAAGGTCTCTCTATGTAGCTTTGAATACATACCACTATGTAGACCAGGCTGGCCTTGAACTCACAGAGACCTGCTTGCCTTTACCTCCCAACGGCACGCCCAATGTACCTTTGCTTCTTTGGGTCATTCTATGCTCTTATTTTAATTGTAGGTACAATATTCCTATCACCTTTGTGTAAACATGAGATGGAGATGGTAAAAAAAAAAGACCCAGATCATGATGGCTGACAGTATTAATATGGTCCAGGGCTTTTTCTTCAGTGGCTTTTACAGCTATTTCTCTCTGAAGAATGCCTTCTTGCCTGCTCTGACTCATCTTTGTCATGTCTCTAGAATGGGCCTTGCTAACACTATGAGATAGATCTAAAACAACATTTGGGTTGGCCAGTTGACTCAGTTGGTTGGATCATGGTGCTAGGAAAATATTTAGCCTTTGCATGCACAAAACGTAATAGTTGGCCAACAGAAGCATTATCAGAAGTTCCCAGGAAAAAAGCAATACCCACGCTGAATATTCTACCAGGATAACCGACTGCCTTATTAGAATTGTGTGATGGTGAAAAGTTAGAATGCTGAAGAAGAACCAGAAACTAATTATCGTGGGCTCTTTTTAGTCACCTTAACAGACATCTATTGTCCATCTCTGTGTCTGATCCTGTATCCTCTGACAAACAAATCTCTGGAATGTACTGTGAGTAGACCACCAGCTTCTAGCAACCCCAAAGTGAAGAACGTTGTGTTAGTACCTGAAGCCGGGGGTAGTTTCTCCACTTTGCTGTAATTCATCTACCTGCAGTCTCCACCGGTGTATTTAATATATGCACTGATTTATGACCTTCTTTTGTTTATACTAATGAAAGCTCATATAGCCACTTCCATGGTGGACCCACTTCCATGTCCCTTGGGGCAACCTGAACCCATGTCCCTCAGCTATGGTCACTGACAACTGACTACAAATAAACCACCTCTTATTCCCCTGGAGTGGTATTTGCTCCGCCCATGACCCTGGGCTATACAGCCTGAAGGAGGTGGTACTTCTTCCTGCTTCCTGGCGTGATCTGACTGTCAGGTGGATTTGCTCCCGGTCAGAACAGAGGACGCCTTCAGCTGTTTACTCGGGTCTGTGTTCGTGAGTGCATTTCCTCCATTTATATCCTAATAAATTAAGCAGACTCCCGTGGATTTCTCGCCCAGGTAGCTCAGTTGGTAGAGCATGGGACTCTTTTTTTTTTTTTTTTGGTTTTTCGAGACAGGGTTTCTCTGTGTAGCTTTGCGCCTTTTCCTGGAACTCACTTGGTAGCCCAGGCTGGCCTCGAACTCACAGAGATCCGCCTAGCTCTGCCTCCCGAGTGCTGGGATTAAAGGCGTGCGCCACCACCGCCCGGCTGAGCATGGGACTCTTAATCTCAGGGTCATCCACTTTCACTGGAGGCATCACCCAGAATGGCACTAGGTACCAGCACAGGCCCTTAATTACATCAGAAGCTATGACCTTAAATCAACATCAGGGAAACCATCACCTTCTTATTTTATAGTAGGGTCATGTCTCTCATTTACTAATTTTCAGTGTACATGGTTCCTTTTTACATATATACACAAACACTTAAATATAAACAGCACAGTTCAGGAGGATCCAATGGGCAGATGATTTAGGAAGCCAAGGATACAGAAGAAAAGGGCAGTCACCGGATTTCACAAACGGTCATCTGAACGTCCCTGGCATGACTTGCTGTATCACCCCAAACATCCTGTGCTGGTCCACGAGCTCTTCCTGTGAGACTGGGAACCAGTCAATAGCCGTACTTGTCATTCAGATGGGTTCTGCCGTCTCCACTCTGACCTACATCAAATATAAAAAGAAGAAATGTATTGACTTTTCCAAAGTCAAGAAGGAAAAACTATTCAGACATCAGGAGGTCAAAAGCAAAACAAATAAGGCAGTTTCTTTTGAACAGAAAATTTACTTTAAAATGTTTTTCTTGCCAGACGGTGGTGGCGCACGCCTTTAATCCCAGCACTCGGGAGGCAGAGGCAGGCGGATCTCTGTGAGTTCGAGGCCAGCCTGGTCTACAGAGTGAGTTCCAGGAAAGGCGCAAAGCTACACAGAGAAACCCTGCCTCGAAAAACCAAAAAAAAAAAAAAAAACCAAAAAAAAAAAAAAAAGTTTTTCTTTCTTTTTTGTTTTGTTTTTCAAGATAGGCTTTCTCTGTGTAGCCCTGGCTGTCCTGGAACTTGCTGTGTAGATCAGGCTGGCCTTGAACTCACAGAGCTCTGCTTGCCTCTGCTTCCCAAATGCTGGGACTAATGGCATGTGCCACAATACTTGGCTCAGGAAATTTTTTTTTTGGCATAATTTCAGGATATGGTTTCTTATTACTTCTATTTAAACATTTGTTAGTGGATAAAAAGCAAATATTTCTAGGAACTAAAGTTGAATAGATACTAGTATCTTAGAAACACCATCCACCAAAAAACCAACATGCGATGGGCCTGTGGGGAAAACAATCACCTCTTACGATGTGTGCACGAACTAGTACAAGACTGGTATAATACCATCAGAATGAATTCTGGGCACACCTCTGACCCAGGACATTAACGTCACCGTTTTACCTACAGATGTATCTCTATAACATAAACATTTCATTTAGTTTGTCCAGTAACCTTTATCTCTTTCTTTATCTCTTCACTTTCTGTGTTTATTAATTTTCTTCCTAGTGTTCTATTTTGTTACCCGGGGTTTTTCATGTGAGTGTATCTGCACTTGAGCATATCCCCCTGAACTCTACTACCCTCCCCTTCTCCCCTCCATTAGTCCCTCTGTTCCTCTGGACAGTTTCACTTCTCCTTTCATGTCATGTATACATGTGTGATTCTATGTGTCCACGAAAAATCTAAGACCCACAAATGAGAGAAGACATGCAATGTTTGCATTTCTGAAACTAATTCATCTAATTATTACTCATTACAGACTTGTTTGTAATAAATAGCAAAAGACTAGAAACATGGCAAATATCCAGTGAAAGAACTATTTAAATATAAAAAAGAACTATAGTACCACTTAGCCAGACACAGTGGCATATACCTGTGGATTCATAATCCTCCTGTCTCAATCTCCAAATGTGCATCATGGAACAAATACCCCCTATCCCTATCATACTTGTGCATTATATACACACAATAAAAATTAATAAAAATAAAATATAAATTAAACAAACAAACAGTGAGATGGTTCAGTAAGTAAAGTCACTTGCTGCCAAGTTCAACAAGCCCCAGGACCTGCACTGTGGAAGGACAGAACAGACGCTTGCAAGCTGTACTTTGAGTTCCATATGCACATCATGGCATATGTGTGTTTGAGTACACACATGCACGTGCACACATGCATGCATGCATGCACAATAAAAAAGTAAAAGCCAAAAATCAATAACCATGATGTCAATTAAATGAGAAACAAGAACTCTATAAATAGTAGTGGATCTCTGAGTAGTGCTAAGTACAAATAATGGGTAGAAAAGCCTCCACTTGTGCGAAAAAGGTGCTGAAATACATCTTATCTTTTGAATAGGCATTTTATATAATGCGTAAGAATTAGTAAGAAACTGATACTATTTCATTATCTTTAGATGAAAAAAATAAGTAAATGAGGCAGAATCTAATGGTTTTAAAATTCTTGCAAAAGTAAACAGGGGTTGGGGATTTAGCTCAGTGGTAGAGCACTTGCCTAGCAAGCACAAGGCCCTGGGTTTGGCCCTCAGCTCCGGAAAAAAAAAAGTAAACAGAAAAATATAAAGAATCCATGCATCCCTCATTTAGCTATCCCTCATCTAGCTTTAATAATTAATAATATGTAGCCAATCCTGCCTTATCTACTACCTCTGCCCAAACGTCTCCTATCCCCCACTACCAGAGCATTTAAAGGTAAATGTCAGATGTCATTACATCTGTGAACCTGTCTAGAATATAAGGACATTTTCCAAAAGTCATCATTCAGCACCATTCAGACCTTTAAAGAGTCAACAGTAATTTCTATCAGCAAATACTCAGTTAGTGTTCAAATGTGTGTGGCTGTCTCATTACTTCATAACAATTATTTTTACTTATTTATTTATTTTGAAGCAGGGTCTCATGTAGCCCAGGCTGGCCTCAAACTTGCTATGTAGTAAGACACGGCCTTGAACTTCTGATCCTCCTGTGTCCACTCCTGAGTGCTGGATTACAGGCCTGCGCCACCACACCCAGCTTGTGCGCTGTTAGGGATCAAACCCAGGGCTCCACAAACCCTAGGCAAGCACTCCAGACTCAGCTACACACTAGACTATAATAATCTTTAGAAGTTGTTTAAGTAAGGATCTACACAGGATGCACCAACTCTACTCAGCTGATGTGTCTCTGTATCTTTAATTCCATCAATTATATAGTTACTATAGTAACTATACACTTTTGTAACTTTCTTAAGTATAGAGCCTATTTAAAAACATCAACCGGTAGCCGGGCGGTGGTGGCGCACGCCTTTAATCCCAGCACTTGGGAGGCAGAGCCAGGCGGATCTCTGTGAGTTCGAGGCCAGCCTGGACTACCAAGTGAGTCCCAGGAAAGGCGCAAAGCTACACAGAGAAACCCTGTCTCGAAAAACAAAAAAAAAAACAACAAAAAAAAAATCAACCGGGGCCAGAGATGACCCAGAGGTTAAGAGCACTGGCTGCTTTTCTAGGGGACCTGAGCTCAGTCCACAGCACCCCTATGGCAGCTCACAACAACCAATATTACATATACATACTTTTTTTTTTTTTTTTTTTTTTTTTGGTTTTTCGAGACAGGGTTTCTCTGTAGCTTTGGCACCTTTCTTGAAACTTGTAGCCTATGCTGGCCTCAAACTCACAGAGATCCACCTGCCTCTGCTTCCCAAGTGCTGGGACTAAAGGCATGCGCCACCACCACCCGGCTCATATACATACATCTTGAAGGAAAAGAAAAATAAAAACAATACCTTCAGGTGGAACCCACACACAGTAGTCCGGATCATCTTCGGGGTATTTGGAAGAGAGTATGGGTGGGAACTGCAAGGAAGAAAGAGACTATTTTACTCAAACAGCTGTTTGTTAGGTCGGAGTCTCACCGAGCCGCTCAGGGTACCCTGAAATCTGACCATCCCACCTAGGAGTACAGGTTTGTCCCACCATGTCTGACCCTAAGGACTTGTGGCTGTAAGAGTTATTTTTTCGCCTGTCACTAAACAAAACTGAGAGAACAGTTTCCATGGATGATCCCGACACTGGTAACTAATAGAGGGCACATTCTCTCTCTGAATCTTGACTTTTTTCATAAAGCCAGAGGTCAGTGTTGACGGTCTTCCTCAAACGCTGTCCACTTTTACTTTACTTTTGAGACAAAGTCTCACCATGAAGCTCCAGCTGGCCTGAACACGTTACATAGACCAGGACGGCCTCAAAGTCGCAGAGATCCACTTGCCTCCGCATCCCAAGTGCTGTGATTAAAGACACGTACCACCACACCTGTTCCACCAATTATTCACTCATTCATTGTCTGTCTGTCTGCCTATCTATCTATCTATCTATCTATCTATCTATCTATCTATCTGCCTATCTGCCTATCTATCTATCTATCTATCTATCTATCTATCTATCTATCTATCTATCTATCTACTTTTGGCTTTTTGAAGCAGGGTTCTCTGTGTAGCCCTGGCTGTTCTGGAACTTGATGTGTGGACCAGGCTGGCCTCAAACTCAGAGACGAGCCTGCCCCTACCTCTGCTGCGATTAAAGGCATGCACCACCACTCCCATTTTTTTTTTAAACTTATAAAATTCTATCTATTTTTAATAAACAAACAAACAAACAAACAAACAAACAAATCTATTTGTGCTTTTGAGTGTGCATGCCCTGGGGCACATGTGGAGGTCAGAGGTCAACTTGTCAGATGCAATTCTCTCCTTTCACCGTATCAAACTCAAGTTGTCAGGCTTAGGCAGCAAGGGTCTTTCCCTACTAAGCTGATGGGTGGTTCACTGATTTGGCGAGGCTGGGTGACCTGGCTGCCTCCTCAGCACTGGGACCGAAGACATGTGCTGGACGTGTGTGCTGAGGATCCAAAGCCCCAGGTCCTCACACTTGCCTGCAAGCACCTCACCAACTACACTATCTCTGCAGCCCCAGTATAAGATTCTTTAAAGTGGTGTTAACATCTGGCCAGCTGAGGCAGGAGGGGTGAGTTTGAGCCACCCCTGTACCATCACACAAGTTGCTGTTTCAAAACAACAAAAATGAACAATAATAACAACCACCACCAAAAAGTGCTCTAACAGGTATGGTGGCTCACTGTGCCTCTACTGCACACCCAATGTGGTTATTATGCTTTCCTTCTGCAAGTATGGAATACATGCAAGCAGGAAATGCCTTACCCCATGCACCCTCACTAAGAAGCCTTGTTCTGAGTCCTTAAATGAGTTCCTCCACTTAGCAACACGTGCCACACAGAGCTAGTTGCCAGGGCGATTAAGCACATCTCGTATCGCTAGAGGAAGAAGACTCTGAGCCTTGCATGTGGTTAACCCCACATGTTTGCCCAGCTGCCTTTCCCTGTTGCGGACTACGCCAGCTAGCCTTGTGCTGTCAGGAGTCACAGCTGCCAGCACAGCTACATACTGAGCCCTGATCCCAGATGATCCCGGGGACCCCTGACATAATCTAACAATCCCACTTCTGGTCGCTTACCACAGCTACAAATATACATCCTGAAATGACTCACTACAGCCTGGTACAGTGAAGACCAGAAACAACCCAACTGTCCTCTCTAAGGAACTAGCTCAGAGGGTTCATCTACACAGTAGGAGGCTCTGGATATATTAATATGATTCCCATGATAGGTTTAAAATTAAGACTAGAATGGAGAACATCAATTCTACTTCTGTGTCATAAAAGGAGGGAGATACCAAACATGTTACACAAATGTCTTTGCATTGCATACTAAGATATAAAAAACATTCATAAATTAGTAAGAGGCAGCTTGTAGGGTAGATAAGCAGGGTAGATGAAGAATTAAAAAAATGAAAATTAAGCAGAGTCCGGATTTCTACAAGGAGCGAAGGCTGCTAGAAACTCCAGGACACCCGAGAGCCACAGACCACGAGTACTTACTTTGCCAGGACCAGGAGCTTTCTTTTTCTTCAGCTCATCTCTGTTCTTTTCATAGTCATTCTCTGGGGCTACTCGAAAGGGGGAGAAGCAGAAACAGCTGCTATCAGAAGAAGTAAAAGTGCTACGGAAAGAAGCTCCCCGAGACGGTGCTGGAACTGAAGTCATGGACACCCCAGCAGCTGGCATGTCTAACTACAGGATGCACACGAAGGCTCAGAGAGCTGGCTCAGGGCTTAAGAGCACTTGCAGAGGAGCCACACTGGCAGCTCCCAACTACCTGTAACTCCAGCTCCAGAGGATCCAACACCTCTGGATTCCCTAGGCACTGGCACTCATGTGCACATGCCCATATGCAAACACACACACACACACACACACACACACACACACACACACACACACACACACACACACACAACTAAAAATAAATCTCTTTTAAAGATAGAGTTTAGAGTGCTTGCTGCTCTGCCAGAGGACTAGAGTTTGGTTCCCAGCACTCATCAAGCAGCTCACAGGCACCCGTAATCTAGCTCCAAGGGAATCCAATGCCACCTTCTGGTCTCTGCAGGTACCTGCATACATGTGGCATACAATCACAGACACACATAAACTTAAAAATATACGGGGGTGGGGTGAGGGGGGGGACGCTGGAGAGGTGGCTCAGCAGTTAAAGGCATATATTAACCTTACATGGGCCTGAGTTTGGTTCTCAGCACCCATATCAGGTGCCTCACAACCATCTGTGACCCCAGCTCCAGAGGGATCTGGCACCTCTGACCTGCGAGGACAGCAGCACTCACATACATATATCCCCACACAGACACACACACACACACAATCTTAAAAATAGAATAAATCTTTGTTCTACACACACACACACACACACACACACACACACACACACACACGTACACACATGCACGCGCACGCACGCACAATGAGAATTTTCCTTTCACTGATATCTTTCAGTTTTTAAATACCAAAGCTAGGCTATAAGTTCAAATACAAAGAGGCTGCTTTTACTATTCACAGTTTAACTATAAGAGGCAAAGCCCAAAAAAAGCAGTCAGAAAGACAGTAGGCCAATCTATCAACTGATTTATTACTACAGGTTTGATTCACTTCCATGGTGGGACATAATGGACTGAGAAGGGTAACACCGGAGGGGCTTCTTCTATCTGGTCAGAGAAGCATGAGGCATTGACTGCTTTGTGGGACATAGGGAGCCCCCGGAAGTGGTCTAGGAGTAAAAAAATAGGCAAAAAAGATGGCACCAAACAAAACGTCTATGCATTCTCTTCTTGTCTAGGGCCCTGGTTGTAGCCTGGTCTGTAAGGCCACTTTCTGTCCTGCCTCCCAAGGCAGCTGCTGCCACCTCCCTGCTCACAAAACCCGTGTGCAGAGCAGCAACGGTGTCTGCTACACCACTCACCCGAGGGGTCCTCACATGATGAAGCTATTTCGTCCATCTCCTGATGATCTTTACTCTGTTCTGCTTGGCTGAGTTGAGACATGGTTTCTATAAAAAACAGTGCCAGGATATACTGTTATTTAATTCACAGTAAATCCAAACAATCAAAAACAAGGACAGCAGCTACAGACTTAGATGGTCATTCAGTCAGACTACCAGCAGACGCAGTTAGCCTTACAGTCTTCGGTAAATGGGCCTCCAGAAGTCTACAGAACCACCCAAGTTCCACTTCAGAAGACTTACAACAAAAGACTTTAAAATGTATATACGCCCCTCTCAACTTCCAAAGTTAAGTTCTAGAAGTATATATCTAAATATATGTCAGAATTAAGCATCAAGTTTTATTATTGACATTTTTTTTTAAATTTATTTATTATGTATACAGTATTCTGCCTGCATGTATCCCTGCAGGCCAGAAGAGGGCGCCAGATCTCATTACAGATGGTTGTGAGCCACCGTGTGGTTGCTGGGAATTGAACTCAGGACCTTTGGAAGAGCAAGCAGTGCTCTTAACCTCTGAGCCATCTCTCCAGCCCCCTATTATTGACATTTTTAAAATTGTAAAAATTAAAAGGGCCAACGAGATGGCTCAGCAGGTAAGGACACTTTTACTACCAAACCTGACAGACTGAGTTCGGTCCAGTATGCTCATGGCAGAAGAGAGAACTGACCTCTGAAAGTCATCCTCTCCACAGGTACACTATGGCACACACAATAAAGGTAATTCAACATTTTTCAATTAAATTTAAAAATGATTAAATATTTTACATGTTTAAAAAGTAAAAGGTAATTAAATCATGATGCATGCATGTACTGGACCACTAAGACCCTTAGTAAAAGAAAACCACATTTTAAAAATAATACTTTTATTATTTCTTATCTGTTCCACAAAGCCCGTGAGATGGTTTGGCAGCTTCAGACACTTGCTACCAAACCTGATCCCCAACTATCCACGTGGTGGAAGGAGAGAACCAACTCCTACAGTTCTCTGCCCGCCACGTGTGTGCCATGCATTCACATACTCGCATACACAGAGACAAATAAATGTAATTTTAAAAACTAGGAAAAAACAGGCTATAGAATAGCAGGTAATATGATTCCATGTCAAAAATATAAGTAAGAAGGAGGAGAACCAAAAACCTAGAACAATCCCTTATCAACCACAGATTTACTAATTATTTAATCTTTAAGGTTTTTAAACCAAGTTTTAAAACCTGAGCTCTTAAATAAAGTTACTTCACTTGTGCTGACAATTCCCAGAAGACCACACAGCCTACCTCACAAAAATCCCAGCACAAGGCACGAGAAACCTTTATCCAGGTGATTGCTCAGGTTAGTTCAATGACTCCCCAAACAATAGGAGCTTTGCCATTGCCCCTCGCTGCCTCCCAGAGTTGACAGTAAGTCCCTGTTGCTAAAGACACCGCATACCTAGGACACAAGACTCAGAGACTGGAGCTATCGTCCTGGAAGCCTCGCTCCTGCAGGATAACTTCCACAGCCCCAGAAAGGACTATGCACACTGACAAGGGAAAGAAATTCATAGTCCTATCCAGCTGTGACAAGCGTGAACCAAGACAAGGACCAACCAGGCAATGACCTAACAGTGCAATAGTAGTACCAACAGCTGTCCAACGGACTCAGGTTTGCTAGAAAGAGAAAAACCAAACTTGCTATTTCCACATACACATATAATGAACACAAATGGCCCACTAGCGAGCACAGGGAAAAGCAAGGGACTACCGTGGCTTTCTGTCTCCCTAGAGGCAGAGGGATCTGTGGGAGCACGCGGGTCCGGCACTGCTGTCTCCAGCTCCACCTCTGTCTCTTGAGGCAGCCTGCTGCTTCCATCCTCCATTTGCTCTTCACGCTCCTCCTTTGCTTTCTCCTCTTCTTCCTCCTCTTCCTCCTCCTCTTCGACTTCAGGTTCATCCTTCATTTTCATTAAGGCTGGAGGGAGTTCTGGACGCTTGGGCGGCAACTTCTACAAGGGAAATAGAACCATCAACGAGGAAGTAGTTCTGCAGAGCGGTAAAAAGAGACAAAGCTCTTCTAGGAGGTTAGGTTAAATGTATACGGTGCAAACTTAAGATTAATAAACCCCACCAAAGTCTGCTAGAAGCCTGACCTCTGCAGGGAATGTTGTCCATCTGCGGATCTTAGTTTCCAGCAAGTTCTAGGGCCAGAGATCACTAGACTGGAGAATATACACAGAACAAGCAAAAATTGCTGAACACAGCACTGGGCATGCAGCTCAGTGGTGGTGTGCTTGCCTAGCAGATGCAAGGCCCTAGCTTCAGTCTTCAGTGCTACACGGGGTTACAGGATTATTAAATAGAAAACTGCCCAAGGGAACAGAAAGACTGCCAGGGTCAGAGGCAGTAGATGACTCTGAGGAACAGGGTTTTCTGGACCTAGCAGGGCAGTCCCATGTAGGAACTCACAGTGGTTGTAGCAGCACACACAAGACCTCCATAAGCGTGAGCCAGACAGAAACCGCAGCGTGGAAAAGGGAGGAGGGGACAAAGTTCTTGCCCCGGCTGAGGAGCTCCCGGCAAATCACAGAGGCAGGGAGATCAGGGGTCAGTTTGCTCTAAGAGTACAGCCTTTGGTCGATCAAGTGTGCTCCAGTAGGGCACACGTCTAAGAACATATGGACAGCAAAACTGGGTTCAATGGGTTAAAGAAAGAAAGAGGCACTGGGTGGCGGTGGCGCACACCTTCAATCCCAGCACTCAAGAGGCCAGTCTAGTCTACAGAGCTAGTTCCAGGCCAGCCAGAAACTCTAGCTTGAAAAATCAAAACAGAAAAAAAAAAAAAAAAAAAAGAAAGAAAGAAAAAACAAGAGGCTACCAAGTTAGGTGAGTAGGAAGGGGGACCATGGATCTTGGAGAAGTTGGAGAAGGGGAGTGAATATAAATAATCAAAGCACAATCCACAAAATTCTCAAAAAAAAAAAACTAATTTTTTAAGAGGAAGAAAATATTACAGCAGTAAACAAAATAATATTGAGGGAAAAAAATCAACATAGACACTTCATTCCTAAATATAACATTCATTAGAAACTAGTAAACTAGCTCCAGGACAGCCAAGACTACATAGTGGGACTGTGTCTCAAAAGAAGAAAATTACAAGTTATTTTCACGTTGAATGGCACAGATTAATTAGTCAGTTCTTTTGTGTACGTGTGCATGCCTGTGTACACACATCAGCCAGAAGAGGACATCAGATGTCCTCCATCACTCTCCATCCCATTCCTGTAAGGTAGCGCCTGTCACTGAAACTGCAGCCCAGCAAGGCTTGTCCGTCAACAAGCCCAGCCATCCTCCTGCCTCAGCACCCCTCAGTGCTGGAGCTGCAGTCTTGCACACGACCAGGCTTCACTTTACTTGGGCAGCAAACACTTCCACAGCTGAGCCGTCCCTGCAGTCCAGCTCACCAGCTCTGAGAAAGATGCTGAGTGAGCAGTCCTTTCCCACACAACCAGGGAGTAAGACAGACGCCTCGCCCAGGGACGGCTCGAGGACTAAGAGTTTAACACGCCCCACCTCACAACTTACCCCTACTGTTCCGGTTTTTAACTTGAACTTGCTTCCTCCTTTCATGGCACCAAAGAGAGGTAATGCAAGTCTCTTGGCTTTGTTTTCAGTATTTGTAGTCTGAAGTTCCGTCCTAGGAAGAAGAACATTATAAATCCCTATTCTATCGAAGTCGGAGGTTTTAACTTACATGCCGTGCACCTGGGCCGGGGAGATGGCTCAGTGGATAAAAGCACTTGTCAATCAAGTCTGGCAACCTAAGTTCAACCCCTTAGCCTGCCCACATAAAGGTGGAAGGAGAGAACTGACTCCCCAAAGTTGTCCTCTGACCACCACACACGTGGGCTGCCCCTCAGCCAGTAACATACACAAAATACTAAGAAATAAGATGTTTTTAAAATGCCATGAAACTGACAGTACTCTTCTGAACGAACAGAAACGACCACAGGTGAGTATCTGGACATAAAAAGAGAAAGAGGCCAGCAGCCCACTGAGGACTGTGAGACACAGGTCCTAAAGGCAAGATGAGGCCACCCTCAGCCCAGTAGTTCCCAACATGCCACAGGGCTTTGCATTTATCAATGGTGACGCCAGCACAGGTCACTGGTGAAGGAAAATAAAAGCACAGCCCATCTTTAACATCTAGATGCTCTTACATAAGAGTTATGGTTTCATACAGAGGGATGAGGGGCATAACCCATGCTCACCGACAACCTAAAACAGCACTGTACAACGGAACTTTCTGCAATGATGGGACAAAATTTATGTTTTATATTGTATTATCCATTTGATTAGATATCAGCCACATTTGGCCACTGAGCACTTGAAGTGTGGCTAATATGCTGAAGGATTGAATTTTCAAAACTTTAAGAAACTTTAATAGTATATGATGCTTAATATTATAGGGTGTTATACTGGATAGTACAGATCTAAATAAAACAAGAAATGTCCTGCACAAATGTCCACCTGTAATGTACTCATCAGACTTATTTTTGTATCAACACCCTCTACATTTTCAACACTTGTCAATAAAAGTACAGAAAACCTTTAAGAATTGTCACACTGAAAACGGGACCTTGGGGCTAGAGTTAAGAGCACTGATTGCTCTTCCAGGGGATCAGGGTTCAATTCCCAGAAGCTACAACCGTCTGTAAAAGATCTTCCGGCCTCACCAGGTACACAAATGGTGCATAGATGTACATGAAGGTAAAATATCCATATATAAAATGAAAATTTATCCCCCCTTCAAAAAAAGAAATAAAAATGGACTCTCTCTCTCTCTCATACACACACACTCCCACTCATAAACATTAGCTAAGCAGGGAGTGTCAAAACCTGGTTTATAATCTCCTTCTACAGACGGAAGTAGATTCACAAAACTAACTCCCTAGAGATTACACATTTACACATCCTCCCCTTTTAAAGAATGACTTACATTTCTTTCTTTCTTTCTTTCTTTCTTTCTTTCTTTCTTTCTTTCTTTCCTCTCTCTCTCTCTCTCTCTCTCTCTCTCTCTCTCTCTCTCTCTCTCTCTCTCTCACTCTCTCTCTCTCTCTCTCTTTCTTTAGTACTTAAGGGCTGAAGAGCTGGCTCAGCAATTAAGAGCACTGTTGATCCAGCGGACCCAGGTTCAATTCCCAGAACTCACATGGTAGTTCACAACTGGCTGAACCAGCTACAACTCTGGTTCCAGAGGATCTGGCTCCCTCCTCTGGCCTTCACAGGCACTGCACATATGTGGTGCACATACATGCAGCTAAGTACCCATAAACATAAAATAAAATTAAGTATTTTTGGAAAGTACTTAAAAAGCTGTCCACTGGTTCTAAGGTGCTTGGTGTGGTGGCTCATGTATTTAATCCAGCACATAGGAGACAGAGGCAGGTGGCTCTCTGTGAGGTCAGAGTCAGCCTAGACTACAAGTTTCAGGACAAGGGGGCAACATAATGGAAATACCTTGTCTCAAATAAATAAGTAGGTAGGTGGATGGGTGGGTGGGTGGGTGAGTAGGTAGGCAGGTAGGTAAGTAGACCGTAGATAGACAGACAGACAGACAGACAGACAGATAAATTATAGATAGCTATAGATTGATGATAGATAGATACAGATTATCTGTGCTCATAGCTTTTTACCTGTAATTTTAAAACCCTTTAACATCTACCACTCTAAGGAGATCAAGCATGACTACTTATAAATTCAATCTAAACTATGAGAACTGTTAGAAGATGTCATTCATGATTTTGTAATGTGCTATAACAAGCCCTCGTCAGCTAGCTCGGCTGCTTTAACCCGGTTTATGACCAAAAGAAAAAGGAGGAAGACGTCAACCTCCTGTGGCACTCTCCAGTCCCTTGTTTCTCCCATGAGTCAGGGTCCGACTGCTGGTACCCTTCCTTTTTACTTCCACTCTCCTTTCTAAACCAGCTATGAGAACTGGACTATTCTAAACCACGAGCACCTCTCCAATGTGCAGGATATCTAACATTAATTTTCACATAGTCACACTCAACTTTTTTTGTTGTTGTTGTTTTGTTTTTGAGACAGGGTTTCTCCATGTAGTTTTGGTGACTTTCCTGGAAATCACTCTGCAGCCCAGGCTGGCCTTGAACTCACAGAGATCCACCTGGCTCTGCCTCCCAAGTGCTGGGATTAGAGGCGTGCGCCACCACCGCCCGGCAACTTTTTTTTTTTTTTTTTTTTTTAAGAGCAGAGATTTTCCTTAGCATTAGTCATTTTAATTGAAATACAATTTTTTGTTTGTTTGTTTGTGTGGTTGGTTGTTTGGTTTTGGCTTTTTATTTATTTATTTATTTTTTTACGTGCATTGGAGTTTTGCTATGGGTGTCGGGTCCCCTGGAACTGGAATCACAGACAGCTGGGAGCTGCCATGTGGATGTTGGGAACTGAACCCAGGTCCTCTGGAAGAGCAGCCAGTGCTCTTCACCGCTGAGCCACCTCTCCAGCCCTGGTGTGACTTGGTACTTGCTATGTAAGCAGACTTTGGAGCAGTCCCCACTTCTCAACCTTTCACGTGCTGAGATTACAGGCACGAGCCACCACTCCTAGCTGTCAGGTCTTAAGACAGGGTCTCCCCCCACAGTCCAGGCTAGCTTGGAACTCACTCTTCTGGTGAGTTCTAGCAGGTGGCCTCAGACTTGAGACCTCCTGCTCAGCTCTCCTCATGCTAGGATTACAGGTGCGGGGCACCACGCCCAGTCTGCGATAAATGTATATGGTTTTCTAGTCACTTGCTAGTTAAAGCTGAAACTGCCATCACACAACCATAGTTTTAGACCTAAAACACTATGGCTACTTGGTGCGAGGTTCTCCTTTTCTCTTTTTCAACTCCTTACCTACACATATTCCCTTCACACAGACATTGCGCACACTGTTCCATTAGCTGATATCTTTTACTACTCAGTATATTTTGATAACAAGTCCACATTTTACGTAAATAATTGCTTCCTTATCCTGAAAGTTACAGGTTATTCTATTGTATAATATATATTTAACCCAGTCCTTGGTAATCATTACCTGATTGTTCATATTTTGCTATTGTAAACAACATTATAATATATATTCATCATTTTCTAAGTATGTAAAAGACAAGATTCTAGAAATGGGCCAGGTGTGATAGCACACACCTTTAATGCCAGCACCCAGGACACAGAGGCAGACAGGTTTCTGTGAGTCTGAAGCTAGTCTGGTTTACAGAGTGAGTTCCAGTCCAGTCAAGGATACTTAGTGACACCTTGTCTCAAAACAAAACAAACAAAAAAACTAAATAAATAAATTTACATTTCTTTCTTTTTTTTTTAATGCAGTATTGGGAATTGAACCCAGACCCTACACATGCTGGGCAGGCACTCGACCATTGAGCTATAGCCCTAGCCCTAAGTGTTTTTGTTTTTTGTTTTCTCTCCTTCCTCTTCTTCTTTGTTTTGGTTATGCCGAGGGTTGTTTTTTTGCTTTTTTTTTTGAGACAGGGTATCACTATGTAGCCTTGGCTAGTCTGAAACTCATAGAGAGATCCCCTTTCTCTGCCTCCTAAGTGCTAGGATTTAAAACACACACACACATTGCCAAGTGTAGACCAAGCTGTTTTTCAACTTGCTGTGTATCAGAAGACTTTGAACTGACCCTTCGGCCTCGACCTCTCAAACACTGGGATGACAGGTGTGCACTACCATGCACAGGTCTTTGTGTGTGTGCAGGTGTGCATATCTCATTTTCTGTGGCCTGTCAACTGATCTCCTTTGGCCACTTACATCTGTGTGGCTGATTATCTATTACCTTGCATAGGTTTTTAAATATTAGAGGAATGAGTCTTTTGTGCATGTTGCTTTTTAAAGAAATTTGCTCTGCAGTAAGATTAAGTTTAAAAACCTCACAGCATCCCAATGAACCAGAAATCCATATAATATCCATGGGAAATCATCCAGCAATCTAAATTTCACAAACAGCTCTTCTCTTGTTAAAGGTTATCTGCACCGGGGTACAGCACATGCTTACTATACAAACTTATCATGTTTGACCCTTAGTGCACGTGCACAAAAGCACACACACCCCACCACACGAAACAATTCTGTAATTATTAAACACAAAGATAAATAAGACTCAATGTGGTGGCACATACTTATAATTCCAGCATTGGGAAATAGAGGCAGGATGTAATTATATTTTAATTATACACACAGCGCTCTGGGTAAATCTGATAGGAGTTGGGGGAAGAGAGGGGATGAATATAAGCAAGAAAATATATGAAATTCTCCAAGAATTAATAAAAACATGACTGAAAAATTCTTTAAAAGTTCAGTGTTAGGCTGGAGAGGTAGCTCCGTGGGTAAAGATGATTACCACCACCGTCAATAGTGTGAGTTCAATCCCAGAACCCAGACGATGGAGTGAGAACCAAGCACTGAAAGCTGACTCCTGACATCTGCAACATCTGTACAGCCACATATACACAATCAATGTAAAAATAAAGACAGAAGTTCAAGGTCAGCTGCGCTACAACAACCTGTTTGAGGCCAGGGTGGGCTACATGAGATATTGTCTCAAAAACAATTTTTTAATGTTTCTTTTTTTTTTAATTATTTGTTTTTATTTTATGTGCATTGGTGTTGTCTGCACATGTGTCTGTGTGAGGCTCTCAGATCTTGGAGTTACAGACAGTTGTGAGCTGCCATGTGGGTGCTGGGAATTGAACCCAGGTCCTCTGGAAGAGCAGTCAGTGCCCTCAACCGCTGAGCCATCTCTACAACCCCATGTTTTTTCCAGTTAGAACTACTTACTTTTTTAGTTCTGGGATCTCTGCTGGCTTTACAAGTTTTATTAATCCTTTAAGCCTCTGTTGTTCTTTCCTTAGTTCAAAAGTCCTCAGGTGAAGTTTCTTCCGGGACACGCCATCTAATGTGCTCCCTGATTTCATTTCTGACATGAATGCATCTAAAGAATCCTGAGATGATGATTCTGATAGAGCTGCCCAAAAAGGAATATACATGTTTAGAAAGATGACCCAAATACTCTAAAATTCAGTCAGATTATCCACAAAGAGGTCACAAATATAAAGGTGAACAGAAAACATCATTGATATTAAGAATGCGCCAACAAGTTATAGCTGTGTGAGACCTTGTAAGGTAATTTAGGCTTCAGTCCCTTCAACTATTAAATAAAGAGATTAAACCAAACAATTTTTAACATCTTTCTAGCTTTACAATGTTACACTGTGTGGCGGAAGAAATGGCTCAGCAGTTAAGAGCACTTGCTGCTCTTGCAGAGGACCTGGGTTCAGTTCCAGCACCCACATGGCAGTTCACAACTGTCTGTAACTCCAGTTCAAGGGATCCAGTGCCCTCTTCTGGCATCCATGAGTACCAGACACACAGGTGGTTCACAGACATGTATACAGGCAAAACTCACTCATAGAAACACACATAAAATAAAAAGCTATATTGCTCCTTAAAAATGTCTCCAAAATCCGAACCTTCCAGTGTATCCCAATGCCTAACATGATGCAGCATATATTAATAAGATAGGTGCTCGGTAACTACTGGCTGATAGTCTTACCTTTGCTTGAAGCCTTGAGCCTCTCAGAAATTTCAGAGAGTTCCCTTTCAGCATCATTTAACTTTGCAACCTAAATGCCCAAATCAACAGAGTTAGCAAATGTTTTCCTTCTTATCACCTTCCTATTGTCATTATTATTACAAGCTTTAAGACAATTACTTCAGAAATCCACCTAAATTGGCTCCTGATAGTTATTTCATTTGTTTACTATATTCTAGCTGAACTAATTTTAAAATTAAAGAACTCAAATAGAATGAGAAACTTTAAAAGAAAACATTCAAGACATTTGTTTTTATCAATGAACAAGAGGTAGATGTTGGATAATGTTTTAAGCTAGGAATACTGCTAAATATAGTGTGAAATACATGCCACCTTAAGGCAATTTCACGAAGGCTGCGCCATTCCAGACTAAAACAGTACTATTCTTCTGATTTCTCTTAAATGCCAGAGCTTAACATCAGTTTCACCATGGACACCCAAACTGGGAACTTTTTCTTTGCTTGTTGGGAAGTCACACCATATCCAAAGAATGTTCACTAATGGATCAATACAAACCTAGAGGAAAGCCTGCATTAGTGAGTCAACTCTTTTTTCTACCAACTTGAATAGAACTAGTAGTTATTTGTTACCATTAAATTTAGATTTCACAAAAGTTGTAACTCAGTACTAGATTCCCATGCAGTTATAATGCCCATAAAAATAGCTGCTTCTATAAACAACTTGCCAGGGATTCAAAAGTTTCTGGCTTCTCATCAATCTTCCCAGCCTTCTTCATCCGGTTCAAACGCTTCTTCTCGATCAGGCCAGTCCGATCAAGGAACGTATCATCGTCACTATCATAAAAATCTTCATCTTCCCAGTTCTTGGCTTTCCTTTTCCGAGATACTAAAAATAAAACGATTCATAATGAACGCTGTGTGTGTGTGTGTGTGTGTGTGTGTGTGTGTGTGTGTGTGTGTGTGTGTTTTTAGGGAGACATAAGGAGAGTGGGAGGGAGGGAAGCGGGGGCTGGGTATGCAGCTCACTTGGCAGTGTTCACACCTACTATGCACAAGGCCCTGGGGCTGATCTCCAGCAGAGATCACCTAACTAGGTGCAAGGGAGCCCACCTGTGACCTCAGCACTGGGGAGTTAGAGGCAGGAGGGTTAGAAGTTTGAGACCAGCCTGGGATACACAAGACCTTGTCTAAAAAAAAAAGACAGGAAAGGGGAGTCAGACACAAAGGGCACTTATCATGCCACTTCCACAAGGTGCCCAAGTAGTCAGGTTCTGTGCTGAGAGGACGACTCAGCAGGTCAAGTCCTTGCCTCACAAAGGCGAGGACCAGCGTTCAGATCCACAGTGCCCATGCAAATGCTGGGCAGGTGTGGCAGGGCACCTGCAACCCCAGCACACAAGACTGAGAGACAAGGGATCCCCAGAGCTAGCTGGCCAGCTAACCGAGCTCAGGACACAGGGTTCAGCAGGAGATTCTACCTCAGCATAAAAGGTGAGGAGTGACTGAAGAGAATACTCAACACCAACCTCTGACCTCCACATCCCTTATAAAGTAATCAAACCACAGAGACAGAGACAGAGTGGAGTCCCCATGGGCTGGGGACGAAGGAGAATGAATTGATGTTCACAGGATACAGTTGCACCAGGAATAACGAAAAGATCTGGGCCGGGCAGTGGTGAGTAAGTAAGTAACCTTAATATCACTAAATTACAGTATGTTTTATGTTATATATATTTTACAACAATAAAAAGTTAAAACAAAGCTGGGCATGGTGGCGCACACCTCTGATCCCAGCACTTGGGAGGCAGAGGTAGGCAGATCTCTGTGAGTTCAAAGCCTGGAACAGAGTTCCAGGACAGCCAGGGCTATACAGAGAAACTCTGTCTTGAAAATAACAAAATAAGTAAGCAAAACAAACCAACAAAAAAGTCAATCAATAAAATAGTAAGAAGATGAGGCTAGAAAGATGGCTTAGTGGTTAAGAGCACTGGCTGCTCTTCCAAAGGACCTGGTTCAATTCCCAGCCCTCACATGAAGGCTCATAACTGTCTGTAACTCAAGTTCCAGCAGATCCTCACACATGCAGGCCCAGTACCAACACACATAAAAATTAAATGAATAAATAAAAATCACTTAAAAAAAATAAGAAGAACTGGACGGTGGTGGTGCACGCCTATAATCTCAGCTCTCAGAGGCAGAGGCAGATGGATCTCTGTGAGTTTGAGGCCAGCCTGGTCTACAGAGCAAGTTCTAGGACAGCCATGGTGGGTACACAGAGAAACCCTGTCTTGAGAAACTAAAAAAACAGAAAAAAAAAAAAAAAAAAGGATGTGTGTGTGTGTGTGTGTGTGTGTGTATACATATACATACCAAGGAACATGGAACTGGCCTGAAACCCACACATGGACCAGGGTGGCCTTGAATTGCAACCCTCCTCCTGTGTCTGCCTTGCAAATTACAGACATGTGCAAGCATGCTCCCAGGAATCAGGTTTTCAGTTGTTATTTCTCTTCTTCTCTTTCTTTCTTTCTTTCTTTTTTTTTGTCTTCGATACAGGGTTTTCCATGTAACTCTGGCTGTCCTGGAACTTACTTTGTAGACTAACTTGGCATTGAATTCACAGAGATCTGCCTGCCTCTGCTCCCGAGTGTTGGGACTAAAGTTGGCTGCCACCACTGCCTGACTTAGCTTTTTAACCAAGATTTAGTTTTTATAATGTATATTCACCTATGTACCGAAAATGTCTAAGACAATATAAACAAATGTCTTAGGTTGTTGAGAGAGGGGATTTTTCTTTCCACTTCAGAACATTCTGTACAATGTACACATTATCCATGTAGAGAGATTAGGCTTTGCGTTACATTTCCCTTCTTTGATTTTCAAAAGAAAGATTTTCATATACTACCTGCTTCCTGCCGCAGCAATCCCAATGTATCAAGGATCCGACAAGCTTCCAGTGAGCACTGTATCATCGCTTCTTTTTTCTTCCCTGAGTGAATGGCCTCAGCCACCAGCTGCTTCCCAGTTGAGTCATCTACAGGTAATCTGCAGGGGTTCACAGGGAGTGACAGCTCAGTGGTAAGCCCTGACTCCCATGAGGACAACTGTCACGATGCCATTTCCTCAGATGGCCTTTCAGTCCCTCAGTGAATTTCATGCTGTCTTGCCAGGACTGGACTTCAAACCATTTCCTTCCACGATTTATTCATTTCACCCAGCTCCCAGTAATACTAAACTAGAAAGGCACAAACTTGGTAAGAGCCTAAAATGCAGAGTCAAGTTCCTCTTGGGGATAGTCTCTGAAACCACATGTTAACTTGAAGGTGGCCACTTCTAGTTGTAGACACTAACAAGAAAAGAACCCAGGAGCTCAATATTTAGTAAGTAGAAGAAAGAGGATTCTCACAAAACAAGACCCTGTCTCAAAAAAAATAGTAAACAAAAAAGAACATACCTTACCCTGCAGAGCCAAGTGCTATGTCCCTGCTCATCAAATTCATATTCTAATTCTTCTCCTGCAGAAAGAAGAACAATGTTAGTAAGAGCTAAAATGACTAGCCGATAAAATAAGAGAACAAAGGTTAAAGACACCAAGATTTAATATCACAATGAACACTGAATTTCAATACATGTCATTTATTCCTAGGGATCATCCCCTGGAAGTAAGACTAGAATAAGTGAGACATGAAAGAAAAGAATTTCAAATCAGAACAGTCAACTCAGCAGGGCCTAGTGGCATGGTTGGTGGGTTGTTTGTTTGTTTGTTTATTTGCAATCAACTCAGTAGGGCCTGGTGGCATGGTTGGTTGACTGGTTATTTGTCTGTCTGTCTGTCTGTCTATCTCTATCTATCTATCTATCTATCTATCTATCTATCTATCTATCTATCTATCTATCTGTTCGTTTGTTTGGTTGAGTGGTTTTCTCTGTGTAACAGCCCTAGCTATCCTGGAACTCACTTTGTAGACCAGGCTGGCTTCGAACTCACAGAGATCTGCCCGCCTCTGCCTCCAGCAAGTGGTGGCACAGACTTTTCATCCAGCTACACAGGAGGCTGTGGCAGGAAGATCAAGTTCAAGGCCTGTCTGAGCTACAGAGTGAATTCAAGGCCAGCCAATGAAACTTAGTGAACCCTGTCTCAAAAATAAAAAACCCACACAACTGAAAAAAGAGGGCTGCAGTCAAGTGTGGCAGCTCATGCTTATGATCCCTGCACTCTGGAAGGAGACGTAGGAAGATCACTGCAAGTTCAAGGCTAACCTGAGTTACATTCAAAGTTTGAGGTTAACCTGGGAAATGAAGTGAGATCCTATCCTTTATTTAAAACAAAAACAACAACAACAACAACAACAACAACAAAAACCCCGAGGGATACACCTCAGTGGCATCGTGCTTGCTTGACGTACATATAGGTCCTATGTTCAACCCTAGGACCACAAAACACAATCCTGGTTGTATAGGCTTGTAATACTAGATATTCAGAAACTGAGGCAAGAAGATCATAGCTACAAGGCCTGCCTGGTCTACAGAGCAGGTGGAGGTGGGGTTCAGATTGTGGCTTAGTGATAAAATGCTTGCCTAGCATGAACAAGGCTCTGGATTTGATCCCAGAATAATCAGAACAAAACAACCAAACTAATCGTCTCTCCATACATACTTTTATTTATGCAATTGTGTGTGTGTGTGTGTGTGTGTGTGTGTGTGTGTGTGTGTGTGTGTATGCACGCGCATGTGGGGGGGGGGTTTGTCTTCCTCTGTCGTCCACCTTAGGCTCTCTCACTGAACCAGGAGCCCATCAATCCAGCCAGGCTGGCTGACCACCTGTCTCTCTGAGTCCTCAGCACTGGGCTCACAGACACATATGACCAGGTCCAGCTTTTTAATGTGGTACTAGGAACCCAAAGGCAGGTCCTCCACTTGTGCAGCAGACACCTTATTGAATGAGCCTGCTCCCCAGCCCTAATTTTCATACTTTCATAGGTTACAGGTGGTGTTTAGAAACATAAATACACATTTTGTTGCTGCTGGAGACAGAGTGTCATGTAGTCTAGGCTGGCCTTGAACCTATGTAGACAACCATGACCTTGAACTCCTGATCTTCTTGCCGCCACTTCCTAAAGTGATAGGACAGCAAGCATCAACCACCATGCCTGATTAGAAGCTTAAATATTATGTGTTGAGAGCAATTAGTTCATATATATTTCCAGATACATATGTGTGCATATCTACACACACACACACACACACACACACACACACACACACACACACGACTTGATTTTTTCCTTATTGGTAACCAACCAATTGCAGATTGAAAAAAACTGTCTAGGGCCTGGAGAGATGTCTCAGCAGTTAAGAGCACTGACTGCTCTTCCAGAGGACCTGGGTTCAATGCCCAGCACCCGAATGATAGTTCACATCTGTCTGTAACTCCAATTGTAGGGGATCAGACACCCTTGCACAGGCATACATGCAGCCAAAACACCAATGCACATAAAAGTTTTAAGAAAAGAAAAGAAGCCAGCAATGGTGGCGCACACCTTTAATCCCAGCACTTGGGAGACAGAGGCAAGTGGATCTCTGTGAGTTCGAGGCCAGCCTGGTCTATAAAGCTACACAGAGAAACGCTGTCTCGAAGAAAAAAAAAAAAAACAAAGAAAGAAAGAAAAAAAAAAACCTAAATAATCTAGAGTATATTTAAAGTATATGGGAGGCTATATGTAGTTTATATACAAACACTATGCTACTTGATATAAGAACTTAAGCATCTTCAGATCTTGGTATTTCAGGGAACCAATCCCCAAAAAGCAATGTGAATAACTATGAATGTATAAATATGTCCATAAAACACGAATACACATGTAAATATGCATCAGTGTTCTCTCAAAGTATATCTACTGAAACAACTCTCCCTGAGAACTTTTCTTATCATATGAAGTTAAAGTCTGCACTAAGAACTGAAAAGACCAGGGGCTGAGGGGATGGCTCAGTTGGAAAAGCACTTCCCTAGAGAGCACAGGCCCTGAGTTCAATGCCCCAGAAGCCAGGTGAAAAAGCACATGCTTGCAGTCCCAGCCCTGGAGAGGCAGAGGCAAGAGGATCCCTGGGGTCAGAGGCCAGGGAGTCTAGTGTGATTAGCAAGCTCGAGGACAGAGAATCCTGTTTCCAAGGAGGTAGATGGTGCTTCTGAGGAGGACACCTCAGGTTTTCCAGAACACATACACATGAAAAAGTACTGATTATAAAAGTCTATGTAGATTAGAAACAGTAAATTCTAAGGCTTTGCTTCATTTCCCTACCACTAAGGCCAAGGTCTTTTGAGAAGAATGTGTTAGAAGTATTTCTTTAAGAAGAAAAGAAAAATAAACAAGAGGTTTACTATCTTTGAAATAAACCTGGGGCTGGCAGTACAGCTCAGTGGTAGAGAGAGCAGTTTCCTAGCACATATCCAGGGTTTGAGCCTCAGCATCCCACAAAAAGTAAAAATAGACAGAGCCAAAGAAACTGGTCACAGGGCAAGAACCAAACAAGGAAGACAACAGACAAAATAAACTGTTTACAAGTGTGAGGCTAAAAGCTTCAGGAAGCAGCACTGCCATGAACAGCACTTTACTGTCAGGGCCAGAAGCGCATTTACTTACATACCTTCTCTGTCAAAGAAGCCTTGGAGAGCCTTCTTTGGATCCTTTATATAAAAGGCCTCCCGGTCCTGCTGAAACTCCAAGGCAATGGGGTTCTCTTCAGCCTCATCCTCTACAGCATCCTCGCCTGCAGGGCACAAGAAAGAACAAATATGAGAAAAGGAGACGTGAATGACAGCCTTGATCCTTCCAGACTGAGTAACGATATAATTAGAAGAGCTGGCACAGTGACACACACCTGTAATCAGTATTCAGGAGGCTGAGGCAGGAGGATCATAAGTTCCAGGATCGCCTGACTGTATAGAGATAATGCTTCAAGAAACACACACACACTTGTTTATCTATATTTGAAAGTGATTAAAGAAAGATATTTGAGGGCATGGGATGGAACAACCACAGATCATGAACATCTTTTAGTTTTCCAAATTATGTAACAGATAAGACTTGTTTCCACAGCATTTTTTTTTCTTTTCATCACTTTAAAGATAACATTTACCTACTACACTTTGAAAAAGCACTGAGCTCTTTAGCCAATAAGTCTCTTTCTCTCCTATTCAGGTCTTACTCACTGATTCCAATATAATTTCTTAATTCCCCTGTCTGCCAAACAGACAGAACCAAACGTGATGCCAATGTGCAGCTTTATTATGGCTACTTTTCCTTTCCTTCAACTTCCAGCTTGAAAATGTGGTTTAAAAATGTGTAAATTGGGACAGCAGGTAAAGGTTCCCACGGCCAGGCCTAACAACCTGCTTTTGACCCTTGGGACCCACAAAGTAGAAAAAGAACCAGCTCCTGCAAGTTGTCCTCTGACCTCCACATGCCCGCCATGCCCTCCAACACAAACGCACAAAAATTAAATAAATGAATTTATAGTTCCCGAAAGATCTAAATTAGTATCGTCCAACAGAAATATGAATGTTATACGGGTAATTTTGAATTTGCTGTTAGCTACTTTTTTTTTTTTTTTTTTTTTTTTTTTAAGATTTATTTATTTATTATGTATACAGAAGAGGGCGCCAGATCCATGGCTCAGAGGTTAAGAGCACTGACTGCTCTTCCAGAGGTCCTGAGTTCAATTCCCAGCAACCACATGGTGGCTCACAACCATCTATAATGAGATCTAGCTACTTTTAAAAGGTCATTCCACCATAATAATCAATACAAGAATATGATAACAAATATTTTAATTCTTTTTTCACTGTCTTTGAAATCCTGTGTATTGTCTGCACCTAGAAGACATGCTAGTTTGGATGAGCCAATCAGACACATAGATAACAACTACCATACTGAATAGCACAGGTCTAAGTTCCCAGTGACTGCTTCCTTTTCTGACACTAACCTGAGCATGCTAATGGTTTCTGGCTTATTCTTGACACTTTGCATAGTAATTCTGTATTTATTCTGTCTTCATATATAGACAGGTCACACACAAAAAGTGCCACAGTGCACATGGAGGTCAAAGGACAACTTGTGGGAATCCATTCTCTCTTTCCACCATGTGGGTCCCAGGGATCAAACTCAGGTCATCACAATTGGCAGCAGACACCTTTACCTGCTGGGCAATCTCATCAGGCCACAACTGCTTTCTTTTTTGGTTTTTGAGACAGGGTCTCTATAATGTAGCTCTGGCTGTCCTGAAACTGGATATGTAGATCAGGCTGGCCTTGAACTCGCAGAGATCCACCCTGCCTCTGCCTCCCGAGTGCTGGGATTAAAGGTGTGGGTCACAATGCTCTGTTAGCCTCTGACTTCTATCTTTTTTATAGACCCGAGTATCCATCCTCCAAAATGTCTGGTGTTTGTGGATATATTTGATAGTCTCTTGAATTTTTTGTACTTTGTGAAAATAGCATGAAAGGTGAAATATCAAACGCTGATTTCTTAGCCAAAGGAATGAATTAAGTTTTCCATGCCCTCCAGTGATAATTATTTAGCTCTGTGTGTGTGTGTTTAAATGATGAAAGCAATAAGTCAATTATATGGTGAGGAAGAGTATGTATAGTGCTCACAATTCAATTCCTTTATATCACTAAAGTTAATGAACCTGGGTTACTTTATTTGCAAATTACGCTTGCCCTACATCTATATCAAAGAGCCATGAAGAGCTATCTGATCAAAAGCATTTAAAGGCGCCATTAGCAAGGGACTCAGAACTTGTTTGCAATTTCTTACCCATTCCCCACGTGCAACCCATATCATCATCTTGAACATTTCTCTTCCCTTCGGTGGTATCTGTTTCCTCTTCTCCATCAGAGTCTTCCCCTAACATCTTCTTCTCCAGCAGTATCTGTTGCTGTTTGCGCAGTTCCTTCAACTGTGTTACTGTCAACTCAGATTCTGCCTCTCGGTCTTCCTCTGGTCCCTGATGAATCACGGGGCGGGGGGGAGAATATATACATATATGGATTCAGGGATGGAGAAATTATTTTCCGAGATACAGCAATGTACACCGACCTGTGGGTCCAGACTGACCCCTATGCTCTTGTCACTGGTGACTGGAGAATCTTTTTTTTTTCTTTCTCTCAACTAAACCTTAAAGAAACTCAGAATCCCAGCCTAGTGAAGTCCCAAGATTCTTCCTTTAGATTTTTCTACTTACCTGAAGGATAAAGAGCCGGGTGCTGCCTCCAAAGCGGAAAACGTGCCCAACGTGGACTCTACAGTAAGTGCGGGGCGGGATGCGAGTTTTGTTGAGGAAAGTGCCATGGGTACTTCCCAGATCATAGAGATAGAAGCCCCGCCCAGGACTGTCAGCTTCTCCGTCGGGATCAGACCCCCGGTGCTGTAGCACCGCATGGTACCGAGACACGGAGGGATGCTCCAGGCATACGTCACAGCTAGCAAGCCTCCCGAAGAGGCAGCAGCTCGTCCCTTTCAAGGTGCGGGTGCCAAGGATGGTGCCGCCCTTCAGGGTCTCGAGGCTGTAGGGGGCCGTGGCTGGGCTGCCCCACGATGGCTCTTGGTAGGGCGGAGCCCGGGCCGGACCGCCGGAAGCAGCAGCAGCTACCCGCGGGGATCGGAGCTGCTCCGCGGGTGGACTCCCAGTCTCCCCGCCGTCCGGCTGAGTCGATGATGGGACCTCGGGCTCCCTACAGCCGGGGTCCAGCAGCACCGCGGGACATTCCTTCTCCACATCCTCAGGGGCTGGGGGACTGGAGGCTGGCGCCTTGCTCCGCACAGCCGGAGACACCGGCAAAACCGGCTTCTTAAACTCGCTGCTGACTTCCTGAGGTGCAGGCGGTTCCGACTGAGAGGTAGGATCAGCCATCCTCAGCCGGGTGCAACCTCCAAATGTGTCCCTCAGAAACCCCGGCCGCTCGCTCTCCACGTTCCCAGCTTCCTGCCGCTTTTCTGGACGGCAATATTGGAGTTCCTCTTTCAAGACTCACCGAGTTGTAAAGATGTGAATAGCCCTAGGGAGTAACAATACCGGGGGACGTGGGGGGAGCTATCGTGGTATGTGCAGAACGCGGACATTTTTAGGCGTTGCAACCGGCTGGTAATAACTTCCTGTGGCAGAGGGCGATTGAAAAGAAGCGCTTCCGGCGGCCTAGAGCCATTAATCAATAAACTGGCCTCTTAGGCTTGACCTAGTCGTCGCCTCGGACCTGTCGGAGTCAGACAGCCGCGTAGACCGCTCCTGGAACACGGCGGTGAGTATTTGAGCCTTATTGTCTGCCTCAGGTCCAGAGTTCCCCATTTTACTGCTGTCCTGGAAACCAGACTTCCCAGGAGCCTGTGGTTGGCGCCTAAGCTGGTCGTGATCACGGAACCCCTGCCCTGCACCTCCCGGGCGTAGGCTTGATACCCCCTTTTTACTCCTTTTGTGAAGTTAGGGAAGAGGGCAATTCCTTGTTAGTTCGTCCGTTCCTTGTTATTCCCAGAACGAATTATTGAGGCAGCATGTTCAGTGGCTTTACGAACCTGGGCGTCGAAACCTATTTTCTCGTTCATCCTTTGTATTTATGACATTGGCATGACACCGGGCCACAGCTTCCCCATCTGAAAAATTAGAAATAGTAGTGCTCCCTTTTTCACAGGAGTGTTGGAAAATTGAACTAATCAATAGTTCATATTGTAACTCTTTTTAACAGATGCCTAGACACTATACCAAGATGGTAGCCATAACAGGTGGGCGAATGCAGCGGATTAAGTCAATTAAAGTTAAATCCAGGGATAAATGCAAATCGATGTGAGACTACAAAGAAAGAATGTATATTGGGGAAATGTTAGGGGACAATGATTTTAGTTATATTAAAGAACAAATTCAAGTCTGATAAAGATGTAGCGGGTGGAAGAGGATTCCTAACAGAGGACACCACTCAAAGAGTCAATTATGAAAATGTCTGGCGTTCTCAAGAAGCTGAGTAGTGGGGCTGGAGAGATGGTTCAGTGGTTAACAGTGCTTGCTGCTCTTCCAGAGGACCTGAGTTGTGTTCCCAGTACCCACATCAGGGCAGCCTGTAACTGCAGCTCCACAGGGATCTCATGCCCTCTTCAGGCCTCCTTGGGCACCTGCATACATGTGGGACACACACATATGTACAAAACAATAAAAGTAAAATCTAAGCACCAGGCAGTTGTGGCGCACACCTTTAATCCCAGCAGGTGGGATCTCTGTGAGTTCGAGGCCAGCCTGGTCTACAGAGAGAGTTCCAGGACAGCTAGGGCTACACAGAGAAACTCTGTCTTGAAAACCAACAATTACAACAAAACAATCAAAAAGGCTTGAAAAATCAAAACAGTAAAGAATAAAAATAAAATAAAATCTTAGCAAAGAAAATAAACCCGAGGGACCAGCCTGACAACCTGAGTTCAATCCCTGGAACCCACATGGTGGAAGGAGAGACCTGACTCTCACCATCTGTCCTCTGACTTCTACATACACACCCCCAAACACACACACACACACACACACAAAATAAGTAAATGTTAAAAAAAAATTTACAAAGAAAAAAGAAGCTTAATAGTATGATATTGTTAGAACTAAGGTCATTTAATCCAGGAATCCCCTGTTTGCCTGCAGGGCACTGGGTCCACACCTTTACAGTAGCAGTTACTGCATGCTACTATACTGAAATACTTTGTTTCTGTGTCTCTCACCTCAGGACAAAGAGCTTGCACCTTCACACAATGTCTGGTATTCAATCAATGTGTATCGAACCTGAAGAGACATATAGGCAATGAATCTGGAGAAGCAAATTGAAGATAGATTGTAAGTTTCATTGAATGGTAAGCCACAGGATTCCGACTTTTTTTTTCCAAGTGATGCATTCAACGGGAGTTTCTCTGAGACAAAGAGGCAAAAAAAAAAAAAAAAAAAAAAAAAAAAAAAAAAACAGGCTGGAGGTGTGGTTCAGGGATAAAACACTTGCCTAGCCTGTGTTCGGTACCATGAAAAGAAAAAGAGAGAGCAAGCCCAGCCACAGTGTAAAGTGTTCTGGGAAAGACTAGAGGGAGGGATACCAGTTAGACGGCGGCTGAAATCTCCCCGCTTCAGTCTGGGGAGACAACTCAGTCTATAATGTTCTTGCCATTGCAAGCATGAGGACCTCAGTTTGAGCCCCCAAACCCATATAAAAAACCCAGGTGTGGCTGCATGTGTTTATGAACTTAGTTCTGGGGCGGCAGAAGCGGGCAGATCCCTGGAGGTCTGGAATGAGCAGCCAGCCCTAGGTTCCAGTGAGAGGTCCTGTCTCAAAAAGCAAGATAGAGGACACCTGAGGAAGGACACCCAAGGTTGATCTCTGGCCTCCATGTGCATACATACACAAAGAACCTCTAGTCAGGCAGGAGGAAGTATAGGCGGGACAAGGAGGAGAATAAAGCTGGGAAGTGGAAGGCTGAGTCAGAGAGTCACTGCCAGCCGCCGCCATGACAAGCAGCATGTGAAGATGCCGGTAAGCCACGAGCCATGTGGCAAGGTATAGATTTATAGAAATGGATTAATTTAAGATATAAGAACAGTTAGCAAGAAGCCTGCCACGGCCATACAGTTTGTAAGCAATATAAGTCTCTGTGTTTACTTGGTTGGGTCTGAGCGGCTGTGGGACTGGCGGGTGAGAGAGATTTGTCCTGACTGTGGGCCAGGCAGGAAAACTCTAGCTACATTCTTTCATCTATATGTCCAAATTTGAAAGCATAAGGCTAGATTAAACGTTCATGAATGTTTCCACCAGGATAAATTAAAATATGCTCAGGTACGGCATAAGATAAGAAGCACCTGCTAGTATTTTTTGTTTATTTTCCAAGACAGTGTTTCTCTGTAGCTCTGGCTGTCCTGGATCTCACTCTGTAGACATTGCACTCAGAGTTCTGCCTACCTCTGCCTCCCAAGTGCTGGGGTTGAAGAAGTGTCTGGGATTAAAGAAGTGTGCTACCACATCTGTCAGCATTTTTAGTGCTACTCTCTTTTTTCTATTAATCAAGCACAGTTGTGTCAAAATACTCTGGAAATACTCTAGGCCTCCCATTGAAATTTCATGCTTTATAGCCAGGCGGCGGTGGCGCACACCTTTAATCCCAGCACTCAGGAGGCAGAGCCAGGCGGATCTCTGTGAGTTCGAGGCCAGCCTGGTCTACAGAGCGATTTCCAGGACAGGCACCAAAACTACACAGAGAAACCCTGTCTTGAAAAACTGAAGAAAAAAAAAATGTTATGCTTTGTAAAGTGTTTAGATTTAGGCATGATGGGAATTCTGGTAATGAATTAGTGAAAGGAAACAGGCAGTGTATATGTTAGAGTCCCAGGCACCATTACTGCTGTTCATCTACTAATGACTTTGATTGTTCTTTTGTCCTTCAGTCTAAGAGGAATTGTCATCGTGTGATTGGCATCTGACAATTATTTTTCTCTTAATTTCTTCAAGGAGAACATCCTTTGTTCTAGAGTTTTGCTGACACCTTTCTCAAAGTGATCTCAACTTGCTTTTTATGTAAGAACTGCCTGGACTTCATATTTTTTGCTGCAGAAGCCTATGATCTGCAATTGCCAGAGACTTAAACGTATTACCTGTAGGGTCTCATCCACATTAACCCTGAGAGCTCTTCTCTGCCTGCTCTAAAATGTTGAGATACTGGGGAGAGATACCAATCCCGTCAGGACAGACCAACAGAAGTTCCTTTGATCTGCTCCCGCGGGAGTTCCGCCTGGTGGAAGTCCATGACCCACCCCTGCACCAGCCCTCAGCCAACAAGCCCAAACCCCCCACCATGCTGGACATCCCCTCAGAGCCGTGCAGCCTCACCATCCATACCATTCAGTTGATCCAGCACAACAGACGTCTTCGCAGCCTGATTGCCACAGCTCAGACCCAGAATCAGCAGCAGACGGAAGGTGTAAAGGTCGAAGAGAGTGACCCTCTTCCCTCCTGCCCTGGGTCACCTCCTCTCCCTGATGACCTCCAGCCTTTGGATTGTAAAAATCCCAATGCACCATTCCAGATCCGGCACAGTGACCCAGAGAGTGACTTTTACCGGTAAGACAAAGCATTGCTTTTTCTTTTTTTTTTTTCCCCCCTTTGGTTTTTCAAGACAGGGTATCTCTATGTAGTTTTGGTGCCTGTCCTGAATCTCATTCTGTAGACCAGGCTGGCCTCCAACTCACAGAGATCCATCTGGCTCTGCCTCCCGAGTGCTGGGATTAAAGGCGTGCGCCACCACTGCCCGGCTATGTTATCTTTTTCTTAAGTGACCTCCCCAGTGATCCTGTTAAGCTTATAGGAGCATTTCCACTTCTGCACGAGGAAACTGAGGATGAGAGTGTTGACTTGGCTGACATCGCTCACATTTTTTAATTTTCTAATACAGTAGGCATTTATTGAGTGCCTACTCATACCATTCATTTTACTAGAAGTGAAGTAATACAATGATACATAAAAGGTAAAAAGAAGGCTGAGGCTATCACTCAGTGGTAGAGCAGTGGCCTAGCAATACGGAAAAAGAAGAAGAAAAAAAGGCCTGTAACAGTCAGCACCATATCCACATTTTTTGAGGGTAATATAGTTTCATTCAACAAAATATTGTTGTTCATCATATTAAATTCATGCTATTACTACAATTTTGTAGGGTTGTTTTTTTGTTTGTTTGTTTGGTTTGGTTTTTTTGGTCAGGTTTCTATTTTAATTGTTTGTTTGGTTTTTTTTTGGTTTTTCGAGACAGGGTTTCTCTGTGTAGCTTTGCGCCTTTCCTGGAACTCACTTGGTAGCCCAGGCTGGCCTCGAACTCACAGAGATCCGCCTGGCTCTGCCTCCCGAGTGCTGTGATTAAAGGCGTGCGCCACCACCACCCGGCTCTATTTTAATTGTTAACAAGAATGGTGATCATGCCTATGGGCGGGGGCGATGGCTTAGTAAAGTGGTTGATGAGACCCTGTGTTCTGTCTCCAGAACCCATGTCAAAAAGCCAGGCATGGTGGCTCACATTT